CGCTGATAATAAATCAAAAATATGAATATTTGCATTTTATGACGGAACTTAAATGTCGAAAAATATATACAAGTTATTCTGGTGAAAAAAATGTCTGAAAATTTCACTGCAAATACCTAAAAACATTTTTCAAGGATTTTCAATAGAGACTCAAGAAAATTCAAGATTATCAGAGATCTTTTCTCTGAAAATTATTTCCAAGTGTTTGAAAAACTTGAATGTTACTGAATTTCGCTGAAGAAGATTGAAAATAGAATTTTCATGGCTTTTCACTTACGATATTTTCAGCGAATTCTGTAAAAATCATTTCCAAGTGTCTAAAAATCCCTGAATTTCATTTGGAACTTAGGAATTTAATGATAGAATGAAGATAGAATTTTCATACTTTTTCATTTTTCAGAGATTTTTTCATTTTTCAGAAACGTTTATTTTTCATAGATATCAAAATACATAATAACACATAAAAACTTTCAATAAATTTATTCAAAATATTTATTTATTTTCTATCAAATTACATTACATCAACATGGTTTTTATCATTTTTTATCATTTTTTTTCAATAAAGTTTATATTGAAAAATCGGAAATTCTAGTCAGTTACTAGCAAGTACCCACAAATTGGTGGGTACATGATTTTTAAATTGGAATGATTTCAAGTTGCAAGATAAAAAAAAGAAAAAATCTATACTGATTCTTTTAGAGATCCAGCCATTCCAGCATTTTTTCTGCGGACATATCCCGTCATATCATGCCTCTAGATAAGATTTCTATTAATACTCCGGAAACATATTGTATTATTTATAACATTGCTTAATAATTGTGAGATATCAATTTTTCATATTATCGAATCAGAAAGGCCCCATTTATTGAATTACTATCGATTCGATAAGCCAAGCCAAATTAATTCTAAGTTTGACCTTATTAAGCTTCTAACATTCTAACACATAAATATCCAAAACTCTAGTTTGCTCAATTAGAAAGTGAATGTTATGCATATAAAATCCATTCTGATTCAGTCAGTCAAGCTTATTCAAGTTTCCGTCATTTAGATAAAGAAGTGTTTATATAAGTGTCAGATATCATTGAAAATTTACCTGAAACAGATAAATATACTTATTCAAAAACATATTGCACTTTATTTATCAATTTATTGATTTGGAAGAAAAAAAACTTAGATAACTTTTAGTCTGGTTGGAGCTTAATGACAAGAAGCATATATATTCGTTGCATAAAATCAAAAAAATCAAACAACTAATGGCACTATATCAGATAATGTTTCGTACTCTATTTGGCTGCAAAGATTACCTCTTAAAGTGCATTCAGATACAAACATCAAGCGTCAAACAGCAATCAATCAGCGAGACGGACAGTGTAGCAGAATAAAAAATATTTTTAACGCTTGCATCTGAATGCCTTTAGAGTTCAAGCAACTCTTGCTGGTTGAAGATATTCCGTTAAATAAATTAGCTAAATTAGCTGACAAAATTTTGGAACGCGATAATGATTTTTATTTGGTTAATTCGTTGTTGAAGTTGCGAAATCTGATATTCCGACGTCTAATTTAGCTGACTTGGAACGGAGGATTTTAATTTTTGAAGTTAAACTGTTCACACCGTTATATTTAAGTTCACTCAACAAGTCACGTTGTAATTGTTATCGAAGAAGGAATTTTAAATCAAAGTCAAAAAATTAATCTGACTCATCTAATTCCGAAATTTGCTGTTATCATAAAAGATTCAAAAGTAATTTATCATATCTTGTTCTATGACCAAAACATTGCCCTTGATTGATAAGAAATCTAAATTTGCCGCCAGAAAATTAAATTTACCGTTGAATGTTGAGTCAAATAACGATTCTGCTAACAATTGCCTTATTTTCACTGAACCACTTAATATACCATGGATTATCATTAATCCATGATGGATTAACGATAAATATTTTTAAATGTCTTTTCGGTATTTCTGAAATCCTTTTTCTTGAATATTTAGTTTCTAGTCAAGGAATCAAGTTGACTTATGTGAAAAAGTTAAAGTGATTTGTTAAATTATAAAAAAATCTAAGACTCTTCTTAAATTGAGACGATTTCATTATTAATTATTACAGAAGATGTCTTAAAAAATGTGATTAATTATCAAGCTTCATACTTACAAAATTTCTCAAGAATAATAAGAAACATGACAGAAGATTTCCCTCGATTCCTGAAACGAAAGATAAGCCTTCAATAATTACAAGGAAGAATTTTTGCAAGTTATGATTTTATTATCTCATCCAGCTCTATCCTTTTTGTTCTAACCTGTAATGCTTCTGACATAGCAGTTGATACATCATTAGATAGTTGATGAAGTTAATATTATCTTTTTCTCGAAAAAGTTAAATAACTCTCAACGTTCTTACTTATTGAGAGTTTATTGATTATTTAACCATTAAATATTTTAGATATTTTTTAAAGAGGAGGATCTCGATTGATTACAGCTTGAACATTCAGTCACAGCGGCCGCCTAGGGGTTTTCTAGTCTTAATCATTATGAATTGCTCATGTCCAATTTGGTCCACCCCTTCTAGAGGAATGTAAAATAATCATCAGAACTGATCATAAACTGTTAATTTATGCTTTCCGTTAGAAACTGGATAAAGTTTGTCCTCAGCAAATTCGACAACTTGAATTTATTGCTCAATTTTTCACAGATACAGAACATATCTTTAGGGAACAAAATTTCATTGCGAACGCTCTGTCAAGAATACTTCTATGCCAGTTACAGTCTCTCTCGAAGAATTTGCTGAAGCTCAACTAGAAGACAAAGAATTCAACTTTATTCTCAACATAATTAGCTTCAAAGTTACAAAAGATTATACTTTCTGGATCAACTACTTCCATTTATTGTGACTGCTCTACGGAATGTCCTTATGTTCCTCAGCGTCTTTAAAGATGAATTTTTGACGCCGTTCATCGCTTAACTCATCTAAACAATAATTTTACTTGTGAGGCCATCTTGCAAAAATTTATTTGGCCTTTCATAAAGAAAATTTAGATCAAAGAATAATCTAGATCATATTTACCTTGTTAACATGTTAGAATCCAAAAACATTCCAAGAACTTAATTCTCAAGATTGCTATTTCTGATTAGTGTTTTCAACATATGTACAACCGATCACAGAAAGCAAATACTTTTTTTTATGGTTTTCAGAATGCAGCTTTCTTACCAAGTAATTGATTCCTACTTATAAATCTAAACATTTATGTTCAACCACTCTACAGCTGAGTTCTATA